TGGGTGGATCTTTTAATGGAGAGATGGGTGGATCTTTTCAATGGAGAGCGGTGGATCTTTCAATGGAGGGAGAGATGGATCTTTCAATGGAGAGATGGGTGGATCTTTTCAATGGAGAGAACGGTGGATCTTTCAATGGAGGGAGAGATGGACCTTTCAATGGAGAGAGCGGTGGATCTTTCAATGGAGAGAGCGGTGGATCTTTCAATGGAGAGATGGGTGGATCTTTCAATGGAGAGATGGGTGGATCTTTCAATGGAGAGATGGGTGGATCTTTCAATGGAGAGAGCGGTGGATCTTTCAATGGAGAGAGCGGTGGATCTTTCAATGGAGAGAGCGGTGGATCTTTCAATGGAGAGAGCGGTGGATCTTTCAATGGAGCGTGCAATTAATTCTTTAGTGGGAAAACTGTAGATTCTTTTAAAGTAGCATTGATGTGGATTCTTAAATGAAAAACAAACAGCGGCGGATCACCCAATGGAGCACGCAATGGATTCTAAGTTTGAAAATCTGAGTGGCGACCATTACGACCTAGATTAAAATCAATACCAGCCACGCCCCTGGGATCAAGATGGCCGACAAACGAAGAAACCTTGGTTTGTAAAAAAACAGAATCACGCATTGCTGGTTACACTAAAAACATGTAAATCCGTCAACAGCAACGGTTCAAATTTTTGTTTGCTCGAAATATGACGGCATAGGAGAAAAATATTATTCCTTGGGGGATCCGACGGTTGTTTTTGTTTCAAAAGCATGATCTACTAACGTGCTATTATTTTGTACTGTTTTAAAAGCATGATGTACTAACGTACTTTTATTTTATGTTGTTTTAAAAGCATGATCTAACGTACTATTATTTTGTGTTGTTTCAAAAGCATGATCTATTAACTTGCTATTATTTTGTATTCTTTTATGTTTAGCTAAAATCTAAAATAATCTATACATCAGTGGCTTATACATTAAAAAAATATGCCGTAGTTACATTTTATTAGCTTGAGGGATTGGAGGAGGGGGTCGGGGGGGGGGGGGGGGGAGGGTGGGGGGGATGGGAGAGAAAATTACATTTCCTTTAAACATGTTCTTTCCGAATAAGTCAAGTAAATTTCCCTTTTCAGGCTTAACCATCCATCGGGCAGATGAAGTAGAGTTCATGTTCCTTGACCTTGGCATATGAAGGGATGGAGTGTCCCCTAAAAGTAAGTCAGGTACCTATCAGAGCTGAGTGGACTCACAAACGACCTGCAGACTTTAGTCCAGATCCAGATCCGAACTCAAAACATACGTGTAAGTGGTCGTGCGCCCTTCCCACCCGACCACCCGTTCAACAGTTGAATCGAACCCCGTAACTTACACAACTTTCGAGTGAGAGAAGTTGTTCTTTTGGCTAAAGACTTTTTGTAAATAGTTTTTCTAAAAAAAAAAAAGATTTTATCCTGCTCAGGGATATTTACAACCAGACGGTGTTAGTGATTAGGGGTCATCTATATGTAACTAGTGTAGTTACCAGGGACGATAAGAACGTAAGACAGTCTGTCAACTAAAGACTATGGTAAGAACGCATTACAGTCTGACGCAATAGTGCAGGTGGTGGACTGATAAGCCACGGCGTATTTTGGGAAGGATACGATAAGCCGCTGCGCAGTTCATAGTCTGATGCAACGTATGGAAAGTATTACGTATACGAGGGGATGATGGGAAGGCGACTGGTATTGGAGACGGCAGTACCAAGTAGGAGGCTGAACGGTGTAGACGTATTGTGTTATGTGAGAATAGGAACAATGGACACGTGCATTCTGTTATGTGAGGACTAGTGAGGACAGTGGGGGTCAGTTGGTTCATTGTATTCTTGTGGAACATTGATGCATTGTTATGTGGAGCATTTCTATTGATTCATGTAATAAAGAGATCAATGTAAACCTGCATTTCCGAGTATCTATATTGTGGTCGATGTTGTGTGCTGGTCAAAGGTAGCACGAGTAAATACACTTGGTAACATTTGGCGCTGTCAGCAGTGAAATCGGTAACATTTGGCACTACAAGTAAATAGACTCGGTAACATATAAATGACGTCACACTTTTTTTGGACAATTACCCCCCCCCCCCCCCCTCCCCCTGTCACATATCGTCACAAAAAGCCAGACCCCCCCCCCCCCCCCCCGAAAAATGACGTTCAATATTGCAGTTTAATTTTTCTTAAAATATCGATTTTGCTCTAAAATATTATCTGAGCCCTGTCAACATAGACTATATTAATCCATTTCTATTAATATTTCCAAAAATTGTTTTCAAAAACGCGAAATCACGATTACAAAACAGTTTCGGACATAACTTTTTAAAAAAATGTAAAAGTGTGACGTCACACTGTCTGGGGGCCTTCCCCCCCTCTCCCCTTCCCACACATCGTCACAAAATTACCACCTGTCTGGATGAAAGACCCCTTATCGCGGGTGTAATATTTTACTCTCAAACCCTTGTTCAGTAGGGCCTATCAGAGGCGTAGCGAGGGGGGGGGGGGCGGGGGTGAGGACCGCACCGGGTGACACCCGACCTCACTACGCCACTGGGGCCTATACCTTAACTTTAGAGGTTGATAATGAAACAGATGTATGAAATGTCGTTAGCATCTACACGGTGTTTCTTTCTGACATTTTTCTCATGGGGTGGGTGGTGGGGGTGGAGCACTTGAAACTTTTGGGAGTGCGCGGACGCTGGTTAAAGTAGGCCTATATATATATATATATATATATATATATATATATATATATATATATATATATATATATATATATATATATATATATATATATTTAAAATAAATTTTATATTTTAATAATCTTGTCCTGGAAAAGGGGGTGAGAGTGGGGTAGGGGAGAGAGAGTAGACGTGCACAAAGTAGCGCACCTTCCTCCCAAAGAATGCCTGAAAGAAACTGCATTTACCCCTGATAAAAGTCACAATTTAAACCCCGCTCTCTATCTCTATTCAAAGTGTTCTATGTCGTCATGCTTACGTAACGCCACCCACCCCTCTCCCCTCCCCGTTGTTGACTGGCGTGCAAACGACATCAACAAACGTGTTGACGTGTCAGTGCAGACGTGTTTTGTTTTCAACCGTTGTTTGGTTACTGCGGGAACAACACTTTAGTCAGACACACACCTCAACACACCCGCCCGTAGCTCCGTGTCACTTATCATATAATAACACGTAACTCGTCTATGTTTACGTGAAGAAAAACAATGGCGTACTCTAAGTGTTTAAAATAAATAAATATCGATGTACGATTTTAGATTACTAACTAAATGGCTAGTTACAATTGAGAGGTAAATACAACTGATGTAAAACCTTATAATGATAAGCAGTGTTTCTTCCAGACTTTTTTCTCCGGGGGGGGGGGGGGGGGGCACTTGAAATTTTCAGGGGGGGGGGGGGGCGGTAGACTTTCTTCGAAGGGGGCGGACACTGTTAAAAGTATATATTTTCTATATAAATTATATACATTTCATTTCGTTCAGGGTGGCGGTAAAATTTTTTCGAAGAGATGCCTGGAAGAAACTCTGATGATAAGCTTTTTAAAGCTCTAAAAGTTGAAAAGTAAAAGAAATCATCGTTAGGTCAAAGCGTTTTTAAATGTCAGTTTTACTCAAGGAGTCAAGATGGAAAGTTTTTTTTTAAATTATTTTTTGTGCATTTAAACACTTTTTACTGGGCAGGTTAAAAATAGTTAAAATATGTTTAAAATATATGTTTATGGTAGATCTATATAAGAATATTAAATAATAGAATAAGAATACACCATAATTGGATACAACATACCGATAAACGATTAGGCAGTTTATAACAATTTTTAATAAGTTCAGCATTCGAGTTGATCAAGGGGAGTTAACAAGAAAAAAGAAAACATCGACATTATTACTACCTACAGTACACTCCCTTCGTACAACGCAGCAGGCAAACATAGAAAATATTCAAACAGCAGACTCATTGTTAATTGTAAAATTTGCCACGATAAAACAAGACTTGATCAAGGTCTACATATTCAAGTAGTGAGAGTTTTTTTTGCCCTATCGATTTGGGTAGATAATTATTAAACTTTAAAACGTGCACACAGAAATGAAAATTTTTAATTTCAAAGCCGAATACTAGACTTCTACCTCTTATTCTCACCCTTTGATTAAAAAAAACAAGCTTCTTTTTTGTTATAAATCTAAATAGTTAAATATTATTGTTTAGAATAACCTAGAACTTAGTTCAATAGGCCAACATCTATTGATTAATATTTATGTCATTTTCTTTTACTTTCGTCTATAATTTTAATCAATAATTATTTAACTTCAAACTTTTAAACTATTCAAATTTAGACTCTAAATCTTTTACTCCTGTTCAGGTGTTGGTAACTTGTTACTGTACTGATGTGTTAGGGTCAGAGCAAGGGTGAAACCTATAGTAACACTTCACTCAGTACTTTACTAAACACTTCACTAAACACTTCACTAAACACTTTACTAAACACTTCACTAAACACTTCACTAAACACTTCACTAAACACTTCACTAAACACTTCACTAAACACTTCACTAAACACTTCACTAAACACTTCACTAAACACTTCACTAAACACTTCACTAAACACTTCACTAAACACTTCACTAAACAGGTATTGGGTCTGCATTGATTTATAATTAATTATAATAGGCTAATTAATATTATTTTAAAAAATATAGGTCCTAAACTAATATTATTTATATTCCTAATATTATTTTATACCGGTATATTAAAACTATTTTACACCAAAAAATACAAAGTGATTTTTTAAAATACCACTAAAACACCAGAAGATTTCAATAAATATTAGTACACCTAACAATTCTTTTTTTCATGGTTACTCTATCATTGTGGCATTCACTGGCTATAGTGCCTTTATAATGATGAAAACATAAGGGATAGTAAACATGAAAGAAACACAAATCATATTCTCAGGAAAAAAAATTTATTAATTTTTTTTCAAGAACCTTAAGTGCCATGTGATAAGCTAAAAGATTAATTAAAAATTGATAATCAACATAAAAGTTTGATTTCATAGTTTAAAAGTTTAGGATAAGATAATAAAATCAATTCTTTTGAATACTTTTGAATACTTAAAACTCTAAAACATTAAATGAATAAGTTAACTCTTTAACCAAGTTCAAAACCAAGTATTCTAAAAAATTTCTTTAATCAATAAGAGATGAAACTTAAAAGATTATTTTACTGATAGAAAGAAATTGCTAATTTTCAGGTGATAATATTTTTGTTTTCAGGTAGGGGTGGAATGGGTAGATTATCAAAATCCAATGGGCCCATATCATTTTCAGGTGTGATTGGATGAACTGGATTAGTGATAATATTTTTGTTTTCAGGTAGGGGTGGAATGGGTAGATTATCAAAATCCAATGGGCCCATATCATTTTCAGGTGTGATTGGATGAACTGGATTAGTGATAATATTTTTGTTTTCAGGTAGGGGTGGAATGGGTAGATTATCAAAATCCAATGGGCCCATATTATTTTCAGGTGTGATTGGATGAACTGGATTAGTGTTAATATTTTTATTTTCAGGTAGGGGTGGAATGGGTAGATTATCAAAATCCAATGGGCCCATATCATTTTCAGGTGTGATTGGATTAACTGGATTAGTGATAATATTTTTGTTTTCAGGTAGGGGTGGAATGGGTAGATTATCAAAATCCAATGGGCCCATATCATTTTCAGGTGTGATTGGATGAACAGGATTAGTGATAATATTTTTGTTTTCAGGTAGGGGTGGAATGGGTAGATTATCAAAATCCAATGTACCCATATCATTTTCAGGTGTGATTGGATGAACAGGATTAGTGATAATATTTTTGTTTTCAGGTAGGGGTGGAATGGGTAGATTATCAAAATCCAATGGGCCCATATCATTTTCAGGTGTGATTGGATGAACAGGATTAGTGATAATATTTTTGTTTTCAGGTAGGGGTGGAATGGGTAGATTATCAAAATCCAATGGGCCCATATCATTTTCAGGTACAACAGGGTGAACTGGATTAGTGAGAATATTTTTGTTTTCAGGTAGGGGTGGAATGGGTAGATTATCAAAATCCAATGGGCCCATTTCATTTTCAGGTGTGATTGGATGAACTGGATTAGTGATAATATTTTTGTTTTCAGGTAGGGGTGGAATGGGTAGATTATCAAAATCCAATGGGCCCATTTCATTTTCAGGTGTGATTGGATGAACTGGATTAGTGATAATATTTTTGTTTTCAGGTAGGGGTGGAATGGGTAGATTATCAAAATCCAATGGGCCCATATCATTTTCAGGTGTGATTGGATGAACTGGATTAGTGATAATATTTTTGTTTTCAGGTAGGGGTGGAATGGGTAGATTATCAAAATCCAATGTACCCATATCATTTTCATGTACAATAGGATGAACTGGATTTATAACAACATTTTTATTTTCAGGCAGTGCAGGAATTTGGAAGTTGAATCTAAATTCTGGTTTGTAATTAGGAAGGGGAAAGATTGGAATCACATTATATTTGATTGGTATGACCAACTTGCCATTTAAAGGTTGTGGTGGCAGTTGTGATTTGTTGTAATCAAAAGTGTTCTTGACATTTTCAGGTGTGATTGGATGAACTGGATTAGTGATAATATTTTTGTTTTCAGGTAGGGGTGGAATGGGTAGATTATCAAAATCCAATGGGCCCATTTCATTTTCAGGTGTGATTGGATGAACTGGATTAGTGATAATATTTTTGTTTTCAGGTAGGGGTGGAATGGGTAGATTATCAAAATCCAATGGGCCCATTTCATTTTCAGGTGTGATTGGATGAACTGGATTAGTGATAATATTTTTGTTTTCAGGTAGGGGTGGAATGGGTAGATTATCAAAATCCAATGGGCCCATATTATTTTCAGGTGTGATTGGATGAACTGGATTAGTGATAATATTTTTGTTTTCAGGTAGGGGTGGAATGGGTAGATTATCAAAATCCAATGGGCCCATATCATTTTCAGATGTGATTGGATGAAATGGATTAGTGATAATATTTTTGTTTTCAGGTAGGGGTGGAATGGGTAGATTATCAAAATCCAATGTACCCATATCATTTTCATGTACAATAGGATGAACTGGATTTATAACAACATTTTTATTTTCAGGCAGTGCAGGAATTTGGAAGTTGAATCTAAATTCTGGTTTGTAATTAGGAAGGGGAGAGATTGGAATCACATTATATTTGATTGGTATGACCAACTTGCCATTTAAAGGTTGTGGTGGCAGTTTTGATTTGTTGTAATCAAAAGTGTTCTTGACATTTTCAGGTGTGATTGGATGAACTGGATTAGTGATAATATTTTTGTTTTCAGGTAGGGGTGGAATGGGTAGATTATCAAAATCCAATGTGCCCATATCATTTTCAGGTGTGATTGGATGAACTGGATTTGTGATAATATTTTTGTTTTCAGGTAGGGGTGGAATGGGGAGATTATCAAAATCCAATGGGCCCATATCATTTTCAGGTGTGATTGGATGAACTGGATTAGTGATAATATTTTTGTTTTCAGGTAGGGGTTGAATGGGTAGATTATCAAAATCCAATGTACCCATATCATTTTCATGTAAAATAGGATGAACTGGATTTATAACAACATTTTTATTTTCAGGTAGTGCAGGAATTTGGAAGTTGAATCTAAATTCTGGTTTGTAATTAGGAAGGGGAAAGATTGGAATCACATTATATTTGATTGGTATGACCAACTTGCCATTTAAAGGTTGTGGTGGCAGTTTTGATTTGTTGTAATCAAAAGTGTTCTTGACATTTTCAGGTGTGATTGGATGAACTGGATTAGTGATAATATTTTTGTTTTCAGGTAGGGGTGGAATGGGTAGATTATCAAAATCCAATGGGCCCATATCATTTTCAGGTGTGATTGGATGAACTGGATTAGTGATAATATTTTTGTTTTCAGGTAGGGGTGGAATGGGTAGATTATCAAAATCCAATGGGCCCATATCATTTTCAGGTGTGATTGGATGAACTGGATTAGTGATAATATTTTTGTTTTCAGGTAGGGGTGGAATGGGTAGATTATCAAAATCCAATGGGCCCATATCATTTTCAGGTGTGATTGGATGAACTGGATTAGTGATAATATTTTTGTTTTCAGGTAGGGGTGGAATGGGTAGATTATCAAAATCCAATGGGCCCATATCATTTTCAGGTGTGATTGGATGAACTGGATTAGTGATAATATTTTTGTTTTCAGGTAGGGGTGGAATGGGTAGATTATCAAAATCCAATGGGCCCATATCATTTTCAGGTGTGATTGGATGAACTGGATTAGTGATAATATTTTTGTTTTCAGGTAGGGGTGGAATGGGTAGATTATCAAAATCCAATGGGCCCATTTCATTTTCAGGTGTGATTGGATGAACTGGATTAGTGATAATATTTTTATTTTCAGGTAGGGGCGGAATGGGTAGATTATCAAAATCCAATGGGCCCATATCATTTTCATGTAAAATAGGATGAACTGGATTTATAACAACATTTTTATTTTCAGGTAGTGCAGGAATTTGGAAGTTGAATCTAAATTCTGGTTTGTAATTAGGAAGGGGAAAGATTGGAATCACATTATATTTGATTGGTATGACCAACTTGCCATTTAAAGGTTGTGGTGATAGTTTTGATTTGTTGTAATCAAAAGTGTTCTTGACATTTTCAGGTGTGATTGGATGAACTGGATTAGTGATAATATTTTTGTTTTCAGGTAGGGGTGGAATGGGTAGATTATCAAAATCCAATGGGCCCATATCATTTTCAGGTGTGATTGGATGAACTGGATTAGTTATAATATTTTTGTTTTCAGGTAGGGGTGGAATGGGTAGATTATCAAAATCCAATGGGCCCATATTATTTTCAGGTGTGATTGGATGAACTGGATTAGTGATAATATTTTTGTTTTCAGGTAGGGGTGGAATGGGTAGATTATCAAAATCCAATGGGCCCATATCATTTTCAGGTGTGATTGGATGAACTGGATTAGTGATAATATTTTTGTTTTCAGGTAGGGGTGGAATGGGTAGATTATCAAAATCCAATGGGCCCATATCATTTTCGGGTGTGATTGGATGAACTGGATTAGTGATAATATTTTTGTTTTCAGGTAGGGGTGGAATGGGTAGATTATCAAAATCCAATGTACCCATATCATTTTCATGTAAAATAGGATGAACTGGATTTATAACAACATTTTTATTTTCAGGCAGTGCAGGAATTTGGAAGTTGAATCTAAATTCTGGTTTGTAATTAGGAAGGGGAAAGATTGGAATCACATTATATTTGATTGGTATGACCAACTTGCCATTTAAAGGTTGTGGTGGCAGTTTTGATTTGTTGTAATCAAAAGTGTTCTTGACATTTTCAGGTGTGATTGGATGAACTGGATTAGTGATAATATTTTTGTTTTCAGGTAGGGGTGGAATGGGTAGATTATCAAAATCCAATGGGCCCATTTCATTTTCAGGTGTGATTGGATGAACTGGATTAGTGATAATATTTTTGTTTTCAGGTAGGGGTGGAATGGGTAGATTATCAAAATCCAATGGGCCCATTTCATTTTCAGGTGTGATTGGATGAACTGGATTAGTGATAATATTTTTGTTTTCAGGTAGGGGTGGAATGGGTAGATTATCAAAATCCAATGTGCCCATATCAATCGAAATCTCTGCTGTGTGTACTTGTGTGCTGTCTGTAGCACGCACGTTTAAGTGTACAGAAACCCAGTCAGCGTGAGGAGCCACACGATTGTACACGACGGTACCCGCCCCTGCAGGGAATAAATTCAGAGTAAACATTCAAAATAAATACACAATCCACATTTCTGTAGAGAGAAATAGCTATAGATTATAGACCAATATATTCTTAAAGAAATGTTAAACTTAATGTATGTTCTTTATGTGTAGTTTAAATTAAGAAACATAATTTACCATTACACGCAGCCCCATCCCATGTGTTGAATCCTACCAGAAATTTCTGAGTGTCTCCACATACTAAAGGGGCGACGCGGTCGCCATGGCAACCGTTCACTGTTTGTTCGCTGCCCTCTGGGAATTGACACAAAGTTCAAATCGGTCGTTAGAGTTAAATTAACTATAAATTACATAGAGAGTTCAGGTCTAAATGAAGATGTTTTTAAGTGACTGCATCTGTTTGGTTCTGAAAGGAGAACCTGCAATCACCATGCTTATCAAATGAATAGGTGCAGTAGTGCGAAGCCTATTTTATGTTGTCGTTTAGGCTTTAACTCAATTCGTACAATACACAAAGAATAAGACTTTCCTCTAGCCTGACACGATGTTACACTAACACACAAAAGTTTACGTACGCTCGAAAATTCACCAAGTTCCATAAGGAGTTAAAAAAAAATTAAGAAAATAAAAACGCTTTAATAAACATGAGATTTAAGATTAAATAATGGCATACTTGGGATTCATTCTGTTTAGACTGTTACTTCAAAATTTTAATACATAATGTATACTTTAAGCAATGCCAGTCCCAGCGGAAGTTTTAAGTACCGCCCCCAGAATGACTGAGTAATTTTCATACACAACTTAAATAAAACAACAGTTAATAAAGAAACTGAACATACCGTAATCAACATGAACACATACTTGATTTTCTGTTGGAGGTGTGGACAAGCTGGCGTTCTGACAGTTGGTAACGGTCGCCTTGACGGGGTGGGTTGATAGCATGACTGGCCAACTTGTGACGACACAAGGCGAGCTGACGTCATCATCAACAGCCAGGTCTATGGGCTGGGAATATTTAGACATTAGACAAGCACCTCTATACCTAGCAAATTTCAGGTGAGAAGCAATTCATTCTCAGATGTATTCTACAATCATCCAACCTGCTTCTCGAAACAGTCGTAGTGTAATGCAGTAATCTACTTGTTACTATTTATATCTGCTATTATCAATATAAGCTTCAACTTCAAGATTTAACAACTTCACTCATTTACATTATAATTCGAATCTCAAAAGAGATTCATCTGTTGAGCAGGTCCATTTCGGAGTCTTCCATTGATGATCACCCCCCCCCCCCCCCTCGTTCCACCAATTCACAAAAACGTAATCAAATTTTATAAATAACTTTTAACTAAATTCTTTTTAAAAACAATTAGTTTTAAAAATGCTTCAAAACCTTTAAGTTGAAAACATTTTATAACCACCCCTCCTCTCGTTAAAGGTCACAAGCCTTATTCCTACCCCCCCCCCCCCCCACCTCTCAGGAGTGTGACTCCATTTATAGATATGGCCCTTATTGTAATTTGCTCAAGTCAATAAACGAGTGAGAGCTCTCTTACTTCAGCCTAACCCTCCCATAGTTGTGTTGATAGGTGTAGTTAAAGGGGGCGTTCACAAAATTTGTCTCAAACAGTATTTGAGAACCAAAAGGGAATCTCACAACCGCTAAGTTTCAAAGTGCTAGCTAGTTATTACAGTCCTACATATCATAGTTCAAAGTTTGACCATGATTCCTTTTTATAACCCTCAATGTATAGTCCTAAAATAAATATTGACTTACCCTCACAAAGTCAGTGACGGTGATTTTCTTGTCCAGATACACAATAGCGATATCGTTAAAAGAGTCGCCAGAGTTCGAGTCCCACAGCTCGTGGGGGTGGTAGCCCACGATGTTGATGATCTGCTGGTTGGGAGACACGCCATCACCACCTGCTACGATGCGCACATCTTCGCTCAACATTTTGTCCACACAGTGTGCGGCGGTCAGTGCCTACAGAGATCATTTCAACACCACTGTTTACAACGTCTTCACATTTCAACACCACTGTTTACAACGTCTTCACATTTCAACACCACTGTTTACAACGTCTTCACATTTCAACACCACTGTTTACAACGTCTTCACATTTCAACACCACTGTTTACAACGTCTTCACATTTCAACACCACTGTTTACAACGTCTTCACATTTCAACACCACTGTTTACAACGTCTTCACATTTCAACACCACTGTTTACAACGTCTTCACATTTCAACACCACTGTTTACAACGTCTTCACATTTCAACAAAACTGTTTACAACGTCTTCAGTGCCTACAGAGATCATTTTAATTTCAACACCACTGTTCTAAACGTCTTCAGTGTATACAACTTTCACACACCTCCCCTAGAAGCATAGCGGGGAAGGTGAGGGGGGGGGGGGATCGGCATTGTAGTTCTATATGGAAATGGAATGCCTGAAATCGGCTGATTAAGTGCTAGAAAAATGTGTATTTTGTACTTCCGCTAGGCATGTTAATGTTAAAGAGAACAAAACAACAAGCTGCTAATTGCAGAGAAAGTATTTTTCCCACAGAACATGCATTAACATTACCTTTCGATTATGTTTCATGTTAAAAGTAGGATTAGGGTCAATTTGTAATCGACATGGGATTATGATCCACTGCAGTTATTTAGGCGGGGGAAGTTAAAATACAGGGGAAGGGGAGGGGGGGGGGTTAAATATTATGGATGGGAATGCCGAGGTGGGAATAATGAGTGGTCATTGTCCGGATGGGTTTATAGTACACCACCAGAGGCTTACAACTTACGGTTTTAAGTCCAACGATGACGGCAGTGCAGTGGTTTGTCCATCCATTGTCGTCTGAGAAAAGTTGTAGGGCAGCCTGGTATGGCGTCAATGATGGCGTCTGACGCTGGAACACAGGGCTGGCATCTGAAGAGGAAGTATTTACATATATCATATACATATAATGGCAAGATTTAAAAATCTATATCTTAAATAGCCTATACGGTTGAATCTGAGACGAATGTATGTGGAAAAAAGCTGCATTAAAAGTGAGTTACAAGAATTGCCACAAACCCAGTAACTACATACATTGTAAACTAAATAAAAGCTTAGTTGGTCGTAATCTCGGTATATATATATATATATATATATATATATATATATATATATATATATATATATATATATATATATATGTGTGTGTGTGTGTGTGTGTATGTATGTATGTAAATATGTATGTTATTGTAGAAAGATTGTTAGGTAGGCCTACGAAGGAACATTACATTTTGAATTTCTTTGACATTAACAATGTTTATGTGGCACAAATTAAGGATAGGATGCAATATTACATTTAATGTGCAATTCTTACCGTATAAACTAATCCCGTATACCCATCATATCGAACAAATAAACTACAAACAACAATGATTCAACACACACTAAACTTCATTTGTTATAATATCAGTACATGGTCAGATTTATCGAAATAAAACTAATTGATTTCAATTACAAGTTTGTTTTAATGACCACGAAGCTTAATAAATAAACGAAACTTTTACGATGGATATCTTTACCATGGCAACCATAAAACGGTAAGTCTAGTGACACCCTAGGTTAAACTATGGGCCGCCTATTTATCACATTAGCTAGTCAAACTGCAATAGTTATAAAACTTACCATCATATAGAACGCACAGCCAAGCAGGCTTAAAACTTAAATAATAAAACTACTCAACATTAAGCACACACAAACAGGCTTAAAAAACTACTCATCATACAATAGAATACACAAACAGTTTAAAACTACTCACCGTTAAGCATACACAAACAGTTTAACACTACTCACCATTAAACACACACAAACAGTTTAAAACTACTCACCATTAAGCACACACAAACAGTTTAAAACTACTCACCATTAAGCACACACAAACAGTTTAACACTACTCACCATTAAACACACACAAACAGTTTACAACTACTCACCATAGAGTGGAACACACAATCCCAGCAGACTTATAAAACAAAGCGCCTCTAACATGTTGAAGGCTGTTGTCGTGTATACCATGTACAGTCTCGCTTTCAGATGTTGACAGTGGGGACCAAACAGTAAAAACCAGGTTTCCTTGTACAACACCAGTAATATACGCCCTCAGTGCCACGTGTCAGTGTTTAGTGCGTTTAGAGGTGTTTCCGATACTAACTGTATGGATGGGTGACAGAAAATAGATTGATTTATTAAGTTATTGAAATGTATGTCTACACACCAGTATGCGTCTGTATCTATATAAGCTTTTAAAAAACGTAGCAATAACTGAATGTATTGCAATGCTTTGATAGCTGGGAAAAAACCCAACAAATTTAACATCCACAAATGTATCCCTAAACAGAGTTCTTCTACCAGTTTACACACTATTGTTTATGTCTTTTAAGGATATTTTAACACTGTATTCAGTAGTAAGAGTAGGACTATATACAATTGGAAAAAGAATCTACCTCTGAATATTTATTTCGTGATGTTTGATGGTCTAAAAAAATATCTATTTTAGGTAACTAATACGTATTCCGAAAGTGGGAAACAAAATGGCGGTATAAAATGTTTGGCATAAACAAAGCCATTCATGGCGTGGAACATGGGCTCTGTTCTCACGGCAATAAATGGTTTCGATCCTGCGCTGTCAGGGTTTTACAACAGGCCGTCTAATCACGCGACGGTGACGTGTCTGTTGTTTTACGTGGAGATTATAGGTGTACTATTATATACTATTATAGGTTTACTATTTACAGGGGTTATCCATTTGTTACGTTAACAAAAATAATTTAAAAATTCTGATCCCTATCTAGGTGCAAAAAAACAATTATAATTGTTCTGTTAAAACTTCTTATATAAGTTTATTGATTCAATAACATGTATAGCATAAGTGTATTTTAAAGTTCTAATAAAATATATAATGATTTATTATTTTTGCAAATGCTCTTATATTATTAAAAGTAAAAAATATAATCTTTAAAAATGAAAACTTAAAACAAAATATATACTGTGAGCAGGTTACGTTAAGTTTTGTGTTTGTTTTATTATATTTAAAATATAAATATAACCTATTAACTTTTGTGAGATTCCAACCCATAATTTCTCTACCCGTGGGCGTTATTGAGATATATGACATGTTTTTCCAGAAGTAACTTCAAAATCCTTTCCTAAAAAAGAAAATATGTAAATAAATTCAGAAAAAAATATCTATACATGTGTAATATCTATACACTTTTGTTTAAAACTAAATATGTTAAAATATGCGATACAATTATTATTATACGATTCAATGTTGTTAATTGTTAATAATGAATTATCACGATAATTGTAAAACAAAATAGAGAGAAGTTTTGTAATAAAAACTGATGCAACAATCGTGCACAAGAGAAAAATAATGTATCGGTAAGAAAAACATTAGCCAAAAGTATATGTTAGTGTTTTGGTAGTTAGATAAACAGAGTTCAAGGACTCTCCTCATTGGCAGGTTATCTTTGAAATGACACATTTATGGCGGCCATCAGACATAGTAGAGCAGTAGTGGAGTCAACTGGTCAACTGGTCAACTGTCGCCTCCCATACCTACACCATCTGGTCAGTTACCTCCCCATAAAGTAGAGCAGTAGTGGAGTCAACTGGTCAACTGGTCAACTGGTCAACTGTGGCCTCCCATACCTACACCATCTGGTCAGTTACCTCCCCATAAAGTAGTGGAGTCAACTGGTCAACTGTCGTCTCCCATACCTACACCATCTGGTCAGTTACCTCCCCATAAAGTAGAGCTGTAGTGGAGTCAACTGGTCAACTGGTCAACTGGTCAACTGTGGCCTCCCATACCTACACCATCTGGTCAGTTACCTCCCCATAAAGTAGAGCTGTAGTGGAGTCAACTGGTCAACTGGTCAACTGTCGCCTCCCATACCTACACCATCTGGTCAGTTACCTCCCCATAAAGTAGTGGAGTCAACTGGTCAACTGTGGCCTCCCATACCTACACCATCTGGTCAGTTACCTCCCCATAAAGTAGAGCAGTAGTGGAGTCAACTGGTCAACTGGTCAACTGTGGCCTCCCATACCTACACCATCTGGTCAGTTACCTCACCATAAAGTAGAGCTGTAGTGGAGTCAACTGGTCAACTGGTCAACTGGTCAACTGTGGCCTCCCATACCTACACCATCTGGTCAGTTACCTCTCCATAAAGTAGTGGAGTCAACTGGTCAACTGGTCAACTGGTCAACTGTGGCCTCCCATACCTACACCATCTGGTCAGTTACCTCCCCATAAAGTAGAGCAGTAGTGGAGTCAACTGGTCAACTGGTCAACTGGTCAACTGTGGCCTCCCATACCTACACCATCTGGTCAGTTACCTCACCATAAAGTAGAGCTGTAGTGGAGTCAACTGGTCAACTGGTCAACTGGTCAACTGTGGCCTCCCATACCTACACCATCTGGTCAGTTACCTCACCATAAAGTAGAGCTGTAGTGGAGTCAACTGGTCAACTGGTCAACTGGTCAACTGTGGCCTCCCATACCTACACCATCTGGTCAGTTACCTCTCCATAAAGTAGTGGAGTCAACTGGTCAACTGTCGCCTCCCATACCTACACCATCTGGTCAGTTACCTCCCCATAAAGTAGTGGAGTCAACTGGTCAACTGTGGCCTCCCATACCTACACCATCTGGTCAGTTACCTCCCCATAAAGTAGAGCAGTAGTGGAGTCTACTGGTCAACTGGTCAACTGGTCAACTGTCGCCTCCCATACCTACACCATCTGGTCAGTTACCTCCCCATAAAGTAGAGCAGTAGTGGAGTCAACTGGTCAACTGGTCAACTGGTCAACTGGGGCCTCCCATACCTACACCATCTGGTCAGTTACCTCTCCATAAAGTAGTGGAGTCAACTGGTCAACTGTCGTCTCCCATACCTACACCATCTGGTCAGTTACCTCCCCATAAAGTAGTGGAGTCAACTGGTCAACTGTCGTCTCCCATACCTACACCATCTGGTCAGTTACCTCACCATAAAGTAGAGCAGTAGTGGAGTCAACTGGTCAACTGGTCAACTGTCGCCTCCCATACCTACACCATCTGGTCAGTTACCTCCCCATAAAGTAGAGCAGTAGTGGAGTCAACTGGTCAACTGGTCAACTGGTCAACTGTGGCCTCCCATACCTACACCATCTGGTCAGTTACCTCTCCATAAAGTAGAGCAGTAGTGGAGTCAACTGGTCAACTGGTCAACTGGTCAACTGTGGCCTCCCATACCTACACCATCTGGTCAGTTACCTCTCCATAAAGTAGTGGAGTCAACTGGTCAACTGTCGCCCCCCATACCTACACCATCTGGTCAGTTACCTCACAGGCTCTTGACAAAAAATATCAACAGAATACTCATATAACTGCTCAAACACTACATATATATACATATATATATATATATATATATATATATATATATATATATATATATATATATATATATATATATATATATATATATATATATATATATATATATATATATAGTTGGTTCGGCGAAGTCCAACAACGATTAACGTTTCAAGTGACTTAAGTCCAACAACGACTAACATTTAAAGTGACTTAAGTCAGGCTAGTGACTAGTTGATTAACCCCAGACTCCTGGTGCTGTTTTGTTGCGTAATCTATCATTAATTAAATTAATTCACCGCCATTAACCTCTTAATTTCCCGTCCACAGACCCCCCTGGCCAGAACCCCTCTTCTTGCATGGGGGTCAGCGGGGGTCCCATGGTGTGTGGTCACCAGCACAAGAAATACCTGGTTGGTGTGACGTCATTCGGGCTGTCCGATTGCGGAGGTGAGATTTGACCTTGACCCCAATGTGTTGATATTGTCACAAAACTTTAATCTCACTATTGATAATTTCAATAATTTCACGTACTCTCGCCTATGCTGATGATTTGACCCCTCTATTAAGCTGTTTTAAGCTCAGAGGATTTGTTTACAAAAAAATATTTGGGATAATAACATAAAATGTGGTAGCTTTTAGTTTATTCCCCATACCATTTTACCATATAAGTTCTAATTTTTATTTTATTTCCTAATTAGGGCATATCTTTTAGTTTATTCCCCATTGAGGGCCTAAAACTTTACCAACATATGTTCCAACTTTTATTTTATTCCCCATACCACTATACCAACATATGTTCCAACTTTTATTATATTCCCCATACCACTATACCAACATATGTTCCAACTTTTATTATATTCCCCATACCACTATACCAACACGTGTGCTATATTACAGGATATTTCCCGTCTGTGTACTCGAATGTTCCCTTCTACAACTCCTGGATACACCGCAAGTACCACGGACCAGAGAACTGATTCTACCACTGACTCATGGACTGATTCTACCACTGACTCATGGACTGATTCTACCACTGACTCATGGACTGATTCTACCACTGACTCATGGACTGATTCTACCACTGACTCATGGACTGATTCTACCACTGACTCATGGACTGATTCTACCACTGACTCATGGACTGATTCTACCACTGACTCATGGACTGATTCTACCACTGACTCATGGACTGATTCTACCACTGACTCATGGACTGATTCTACCACTGACTCATGGACTGATTCTACCACTGACTCATGGACTGATTCTACCACTGACTCATGGACTGATTCTACCACTGACTCATGGACTGATTCTACCACTGACTCATGGACTGATTCTACTACTGACTCATGGACTGATTCTACCACTGACTCATGGACTGATTCTACCATTGACTCATGGACTGATTCGAGCGAGAAAATAAACATTAAATAAATATCACATCCAGTGTTTGTGGTTTTAACAAAATGTTGAGTTGAACCAAACAAAATGTTGAGTTGAACCAAACAAAATGTTGAGTTGAACCAAACAAAATGTTGAGTTGAACCAAACAAAATGTTGAGTTGAACCAAACAAAATGTTGAGTTGAACCAAACAAAATGTTGAGTTGAACCAAACAAAATGTTGAGTTGAACCAAACAAAATGTTGAGTTGAACCAAACAAAATGTTGAGTTGAACCAAACAAAATGTTGAGTTGAACCTAACAAAATGTTGAGTTGAACCAAACAAAATGTTGAGTTGAACCAAACAAAATGTTGAGTTGAACCAAACAAAATGTTGAGTTGAACCAAACAAAATGTTGAGTTGAACCAAACAAAACTTCGGGTTGGATAACATTTTTTTTGTAAAAATTGGACGAGAATCTTGCTTGTTCATGCTCAACAGCTCACAAACTTCGGAATTGTGTATGAATGGTTTTAAACCCAAGAACAGATGAAGTAGAGTTCATATGTTTCAGTGACCTCTGAATGCAGGGGGATTGTGTGGTCAGAACAAGTAACCCTAACGTGAGTCAGGTACCCATTAGAACTGAGTAGACGCAGATATGTTCTTTTTGGTCGACATGGTTTTGCAATTTTCCGCAAATGATCAGTTAAAGAAATCTTTTTATTTCAACATAAAAAAACCAAACAGACACAGTAGAACACAATAAAATTTATTTATTTGGTTAAAGCGGGGTGCGATGTAAGCAACGTTATTTTCGCATTGTGTAAAACAAACCTAATACATTGACGCAGAAAGCTAACGAAAATTACACGGACAAACCAAAAGCGATAAAGGGAGAAGGAACACAAATAATTATAAACTAATATTTCAGATGTCTGATTTTAGTTACGCTGCTCCTTAGAGTTACATTTAAATAACCATTTTGAAATACAATGATGTAATTAGAATCATAGTTAATTACCATTTCCAAATGAAAATTTAAAGTTATAATTTAATATTTAACATATAAAGTGTTAAAATTAGAGCGACATTTGTTTAACTATTTCACAAAAGCAGATTTAAAATTAAGTACTTTACGTATGAAGTCTTAAAATAGCAGCTACGATTGAGAAACTATTTCCGAATGTAGGCTCGAAACTTGGAGTTGTATTTGAAGTAAACCAAAATGTTGCAACAACAAAATAAAATTTGAAATGTATGTGCTGCGGCATCCACCACCTCATACAACTTGCCATACTTGCCGCTGATGGAGAACTCGGGGAAGATGATGTAGGCCATACAGTAGCCGACCTTTGGGATGTTGCTGATGATGTAGGCCATACAGTAGCCGACCTTTGGGATGTTGCTGATGATGTAAGCCATACAGTAGCCGACCTTTGGGATGTTGCTGATGATGTAGGCCATACAGTAGCCGACCTTTGGGATGTTGCTGATGATGTAGGCCATACAGTAGCCGACCTTTGGGATGTTGCTGATGATGAAGAGAAGAGACAGTACGAACATCTGTTGGGTGATTTTAAGCTCCCTCCCACTTAGTTTGGTGTTCTTGACTTCATCATTGCCGTGTTCTGTTGTATTCAAAGTTTTACCGTGATCCGTTGTATTCAAAGTTTCTCTAGCTGAAGGAGCTAACTTAACCTCATCATTGCCGTGATCCGTTGTATTCAAAGTTTCTCTAGCTGAAGGAGCTAACTTAACCTCATCATTGCCGTGTTCCGTTGTATTCAAAGTTTTACCGTGATCCTTTGTATTCAAAGTTTCTCTAGCTGAAGGAGCTAACTTAACCTCATCATTGCCGTGTTCCGTTGTATTCAAAGTTTCTCAAGCTGAAGGAGCTAACTTAACCTCATCATTGCCGTGATCCGTTGTATTCAAAGTTTCTCTAGCCGAAGGAGTTAACTTAACCTCATCATTGCCGTGATCCGTTGTATTCAAAGTTTCTCTAGCTGAAGGAGCTAACTTAACCTCATCATTGCCGTGATCCGTTGTATTCAAAGTTTCTCTAGCTGAAGGAGCTAACTTAACCTCATCATTGCCGTGTTCCGTTGTATTCGAACCTTCTCTAGCCGGATGTGCTAACTTAACTTCACCATTATCGTTTCTCAATGAATTCGAAGTTTCTCTAGCCGAATGAGCTAATTTAACTTCACCATTACCGTGTTCGGTTGTATTCAAACATTCCCTAGTCGTATTAGCTCCAGTGTGTTTTTGACGAAATGCCAACGCCTCCTTCAGAAAACTCCTCATTAAGAAAGCACACACCACGACCGTTATCTGAATGGCTATTGGTAGAAAAAAACCAACGGCTGGCCAGATGACCGCTAGAGCTTTTTCAAAATACGGAGACACCCACAGCGTCGGCCGGGTCACGTGAGACCTGACGTCATCTTGTTGTATTATTCCCATCAAAGCCAACAACGGAATAGCGTCGAGGAAAGTAAACACCGCTATGGCCGTGATGAAGATGATGTAGATTTGTTTGGTTGCGAATCTTTCACTAAACCACACGGGCTTGGCCACACTCAGACACCGAACCACGGATATGAAGGTGATGTTGAGCATGGTGTTGTAGTAGAGTAGCCCACCACAGTAGGCGAAGTAGACGTGTACGCCGTACGGATCCACCGGAAATCGCACGCGGAAGTGAGGGACGAGTTCAACGGTTAGAAATATGTAGGAGACGGAGGAGGAGAGTATACAGATGAGGTAGAAGAGGTCGGAGACAGAGAGGCACAGGAGAGAGAGAGTGGCGCCATCTTTGAGTCCCATAGAGAGGAATGCCCGGATGGTCAGGCAGTTTCCCATGATGCCGATGAGGGAGAAGAAAGCTTCTATAGCAGACGTTGTTGTTGTCTCTAGCGAGATGTTGTCTTGTAGGACGGTGGTGATGTTGTCCTGTAGGACGGTGGTGATGTTGTCGTGTAGGACGGTGGTGATGTTGTCGTGTAGGACGGTGGTGATGTTGTTTTGGAGGACGGTGCTGATGTTGTCTTGTAGGACGGTGGTGATGTTGTCCTGTAGGACGGTGGTGATGTTGTCGTGTAGGACGGTGGTGATGTTGTTTTGGAGGACGGTGCTGATGTTGTCTTGTAGGACGGTGGTGATGTTGTCCTGTAGGACAGTGGAGAAGTCTTGTACGACGGTGTTGAATGATGAATTGTTTTGATTGGCTTCTGCCATACTGCCTATAATATTCTTCAAAGAAAATGCAGTATTTTAAAAAAAAACCGAGATATATTATATGCACTATATTTATTGATCATAATATTTTTAAAAAACCCGAATTTATATTATTGTTATTATTACAATATTTCTTTTAAAAAATAAATGCAATTTTCTTTGTTAATTTTTATCAGCGAAGACTAGACTTAAATGTATACTTCGTGTGTAAATTTCCTTGTTGGGTGGATAAAGTTTAAATCCTTATCAACCCAGTTAGTTAAGAGAAAGAAATACTTTACCGTTTTGTAGAATTGATAATTATTTAAACATTTTCTTGAAATGCCCCAGTAAACAATAAACTGTATAAGTAATTTTCTCGGCTAAATCCGTGCTAAATTAAACTTTAATGTCGGAACTAGCTCTCTTCTATAATGCTAGGCCATGAGTTCATGTAAAACTGAACATTTAACAACAGTTTTTATGAACAATTTACTCCGACACGAAAATAAAAATAATGTACATACTAATGTTCAGTACTAGGGTATAAAAATATAAATTTTTTTATTGACAAGTGTTTGTTTTAATTATGCCGGTTGTCGAATTAAATTGGCCTAGAAGATTCATATGAGATAAATGAATTTACTTGTAATTGAAATATAATAGACCTAGAAAATACACAAACTAAACGTTAATCGAAAATAATAGCAGTTGTTAAAGAATTATTGCAATTTTTGTTTTACTTAATGAATTCGTGTAGTTACTTTAATTTGTTTATTGACAATTTATTCGCAGCCTTCAATATTTTACAGTTTAAACAGAATCTGTAACTTCAAAGTTTTAAAGGACAATATATGGACATAAACTTGTATGTATTATTTCCATAGCTTCAAACGAAACATAAGAAATGATTGACCAAACCAGACTAGTCTAAAAAACTTATTTATCTAGCAGTAAACACAATTTTACCTACCTAAATGTTGTGTTAACGTTTTTCGCAATAACTTCGCTAGGAACAAATTATTCGTGTGGACAAATCTTGTAAAACTCGGAATCTGTATGCTAAACATGGAGTCAAGTTTTTCATTAATGCTTGTTTATCTCGCGATTCACCAAAGGTAGAACATGCTAAATGTGTCGCTAAGTCTACTACTAAAGCTTGTATATCTCGCAATTCACCAAAGATTAAACACGCTGCATTTGTTGCTAAGACTATCACAAAAACTTGCGTATCTCGTCTTATTGCATATTATTAAATGCCGTCTAAATTTTTAAACATAAAACACTATAAAAAAACAACACAGCGACTGAAATTTATGAAGACTTTATTAATTTAGTCTCTAACTCTGAAACAACAACACATAGTCCATTCAGTTGTCAGATGACGCTCCAGTGATGGGTGTGTTGTTTAGGGGTAGGTGGCGTACCAGTCCAGGTACTCGGACACACGTGTGTATACACTGGGCAGGTCACCTGTGGGGAAACATGGTGTCACAGATGAGTCATGGTGTCACATGTGAGTCATGGTGTCACAGGTGAGTCGTGGTGTCACAGGTGTCATGGTGTCACAGGTGTCATGGTGTCTTAGCTAAATACTGTCACATGTGTGTAGTGGTGTTTTAGCTAAATATTGTCACAGGTGTGTCATAGTGTCACCGGTGTGTGTCATGGTGTCTTAGCTAAATACTGTCCCATTTGTTTTGAGGTGTCTTAGGTCAACAACTAAAATATGTGCTTAATTGCTGGCTAACTGCTAGCCTCATCTGCCTAACATTGTGTCAAAAAGTTTTGATCAAATGAAATGAGGTAACTCACCACTGCAGGTGCTGACTCCCCAGGAGGTGATACCTGCCAGTAGACCAAAGCCAGAGCCGCACATCATGGGGCCGCCACTGTCACCGTTACAGGCGCTGGGGCGGGTACCGGCGGGGTCTGGCAGAGAAACAAAAACAGTTGGGATTGAGAAGGATACCGTAAACGTTTGCAAAAACTACTTTCATAAATTTTTCGGAACACAAATATGTTTGTAATGGTACTGTTATAGCAAATGTTATATAAGTCTTTCATGACAAAAAGAAAATAACAATTTATTATAATTAGCAATATCGAAGAAAAAATATAAAAGACTTACGTCTTAATTGTACATTTTGAATTAAAATTTTAAAAAAGAAACTTTAAGTGTAAACAGTAAAACATTTCTGTACGGAGAAATTGAATTGTTGATTAAAAGAAATGAAGCTTTCTCACCTGAGGCCTCGTAGACACAGATGTGCTTGTCTGTGATGGTCTGGCCGTATCTGCTCCACAGGTTGTTGCAGGTAGCACGGGTGATCTTGGTGATGTAAGCTTCCTTCAGTGTCTGGGCAGTGGCGCCCCCTCCAACAGTACGACCCCAGCCGGTGATGACGCATTGGGTGTTGGCAAAAGATGAACCTTTAGGAGCCAGGGCGGCGGGCTGGAAGATTTACATTGTATGAGGTCATAGAAACTTAGGACTGGAAGATTTACATTGTATGAGGTCATAGAAACTTAGGACTGGAAGATTTACATTGTATGAGGTCATATAAACACAGGACTGGAAGATTTACATGAGGTCATAGAAACACAGGACTGGAAGATTTACATTGTATGAGATCATATGAACACAGGACTGGAAGATTTACATGATATCATATAAACACAGGACTGGAAGATTTACATTGTATGAGATCATATGAACACAGGACTGGAAGATTTACATGATATCATATAAACACAGGACTGGAAGATTTACATTGTATGAGATCATATGAACACAGGACTGGAAGATTTACATGATATCATATAAACACAGGACTGGAAGATTTACATTGTATGAGATCATAGAAACACAGGACTGGAAGATTTACATGAGGTTATATAAACACAGGGATGGAAGATTTACATTGTATGAGATCATAGAAACACAGGGATGGAAGATTTACATTGTATGAGGTCATATAAACAATGGACTGGAAGATTTACATTGTATGAGGTCATAGAAACATATGACTGGAAGATTTACATGATATCATATAAACACAGGACTGGAAGATTTACATTGTATGAGATCATATGAACACAGGACTGGAAGATTTACATGATATCATATAAACACAGGACTGGAAGATTTACATTGTATGAGATCATATGAACACAGGACTGGAAGATTTACATGATATCATATAAACACAGGACTGGAAGATTTACATTGTATGAGATCATAGAAACACAGGACTGGAAGATTTACATGAGGTTATATAAACACAGGGATGGAAGATTTACATTGTATGAGATCATAGAAACACAGGGCTGGAAGATTTACATTGTACGAGGTCATATGAACACAGGACTGGAAGATTTACATGAGGTTATATAAACACAGGGATGGAAGATTTACATTGTATGAGATCATATGAACACAGGACTGGAAGATTTACATTGTATGAGGTCATATAAACTTAGGACTGGAAGATTTACATGAGGTCATAGAAACACAGGACTGGAAGATTTACATTGTATGAGGTCATATAAACACAGGAATGGAAGATTTACATCAGATCATATGAACACAGGATTGGAAGATTTACATGAGGTAATATGAACACATGGATGGAAGATTTACATGAGGTCATATAAACACAAAGAAAGTCGACAGCGAGGCTAAAGATTGAGACAAGCTGTGACAAGCTTTGAGCAGCTGTGGGAGCTGTGGAAGCTGTGGGAGCTGTGGCACCTACCTGCACGTTCTTGTTGTAGGTGACGGAGCTGGACAGGTAGATGATGCCGATGTCGTTGGGGATGCCGTTGCCGTTACCGTTGTACTGGGCGTGGATGACGAAGGACGCCACATTGACCACCTGCTCGTAGGCGTTGGGTGGGTCGTACAGGTTGAGGGCGCCGACCTCGACACGGAGGTTTCTGGCCTGCTGACCTTCCAGACAGTGGGCAGCGGTCAAGAGCTGTCAAGACAAAAGGCATTACAAACGTCACAGCATCAGACCTTTACTGGCAATGTCAGAGTGTTAAGCTACAGCTGTAGAAATAAAGATTTTTATAATCTCATAAAGTTTGGCTAAACTATGGAAATATATTTTGAGCACTATATTTCAAAAAGTTTGGCTATATTTGGAGATATATTTTATGCAGTGTATTTTTGTGATATTGTTTTAAATTTGATTTGTGCCAATTACGCAAGGTGTAATTTTATCTTTTCTAAATCTCTTTTAAAAAACTTTTTTTTAAATGTACAGGCTTCAAGCTTTTCAAGTGATCAAATATAACTAGTGACCGGATGTCTTTGACCGGATGTCTTAGACCGGATTACCGGATGACCGGATGACCGGATGACCTACCTTGTTTGGGGCGACCAGCACAGCGCCACAGATGTGGTACCAGCCGTAGGGTGCCTGGTAGAGCTGGAGCGAGGCCTGGTGGGGGTGGGAGTACAGGGTGGCCTTGTCACCGTTGACAATACGCCTGTAGAGCTCCTCATCCTCCTCAGCCAACACCACAGCTGCAACAACAATCAATTTATTGACAGTTAGCTCCTCTTTAGTATACTTACAATTTAAAATATATATAAAACGACTATGTTTATAAGATTATACATAACATAATTTAAAACTATAAAAAAACAAGTATTATTTTTTAATAAATTAAGACTTTTGCCAGAAGAACAATGCTTTCAAGACTTCCTGATCTACAGTCGTACGTTACCCACCAAATAGACAGACAAAAACTGCAATGATCTTCATCTTGGTGAGCCGCACACAACAAAGTGATACCGTACCTACCAACATAGCTGAGCCTGGTTATATACTCTTTGCTGGCCAGCCATAAACGTCACACGTCTCGATTTACTCTAAATTTAGCAACAATCGTGAACATATAACAATCGTCTCAAGAGCCTGTAAGTTAATTAAGTAGTATACACAGATCTCAATACTGAGGCTATTAAGTCACGTGCAAGTTCCCACATTATCTGAAGCCAAATTGTCGGTGGCCATTTACAACATTTATGTCTAAAACATTGCCCGTTTCTTAATAATGCTACGCTTTGCTACAATTTTCATTTAGAAATTTTGTTTCACTGGGCTAGTTTTCTGTAATTGGTACCTCCGATTATCGTTGTTTTAACTTTACGATAATCTACACCAAAGTCATCAAACATGATGTCTATTAGGTCCGCAGAGTAGCGAATTTGCAACGTATAATAATCAGAAGAGCTCGGCCATTTCCCGACACTCGATCTCTAAATTATGGACCAGACAGTTTTAACAAGATGATGTTTTTATGCACAAAAACTGGCCGATGTAGTGTTCGTGTCACCGACTCAAGGCGTGAAAAGTTAAAAGTAAATACCCACGACGTGAAAACGACAACAACAAATCAGCCCCCGACAAAAGCAACCCCAGTTGTTAACCATCGATTAAAAGGCTCCCGACAAGAAGACACAGACACTCGAAAAACAAACCCCGACATTTTAGCTTCCAACAAAATTATTTATACAGTACGGCCTTCGTCAAATGGGTCTTTACAGTAAAAGGTACCAAAATTCGCAACTAATAAAATATTAAGGTTATGTAAAAGGCCCAAGAAAGAAATAACCCTTAGGTATACGTGTACGACAAAACCTACACTTAGTTGGCAATCTCATTTCGCGAGAAGAATAAAGAAACCGATAATCTACCTCATTTGTAAAAAAGGAGGATATTTTACTTAATATCCACATAAATGCAATTTTTAATAATGCTATTTTTTAACTCTTTCAACAATCTAGACGCCGTGTTTGTAAACTAGAGGTACTAAGCGAAGGTCCAATTTTATTTTATTTGAGCCAAACCACTCTTCCTTAAGCGGAGAATTAATTTTATTATTGGTACAAAATTAAGGTCCTTTTATGAATTGATGATGGGACGGCGTGGCCTAGAGGTAGAGCGCTAAACTGCTGACCCGAAAACCTCGAGATTAAATCCGGGTTGAAGTCAGTGGAACGTCCCTGAGTCCTCCCAGCTCAGATGGGTACCTAACTCACGTCAGGGAAAGTAAATGTAACTGGGCATAGTACTGACCAAATTATCCCATCATATGCCGAGGTCAAAAAACATACGAACTCTACTCCATCTGCTCAATGGATCGCTATGTCTAAAGAAGAATCTTTACTATGAATTAATATATGTCTAAATGAAAAAGAAAATTAACTGAAATTATTGTAGTGCTGTATTAGAATGGAATATCGAGCAGGAGTCATGAAGCTGATCTGCCTTCAAGATGGAGGACAAACATCGCTTAAGATAAACTAACATTTGAAACCAACCCCAGAACAAAACAAACCACCATATCCCACCCATTGTCGTGGTGTATTCAACTTTGTTTCATGGAGAAAACAATTATTGTTTTTAATTAAATCAGTCTTGTGAAATAATGATGAAATGAAAAATATCTTTTAACGCCCTAATTAACCCCAGTAGTTTGTAGATGAAGTAAGTTTGGAATTGTTTTAATTATTCAATAAATCATTTAATATTTTAATGTTGCATTTGAGCAAGTTTTATGAAAGTTGATAACTTGATTACAGTGTTTCTTCCAGACTTTTTTCTCCGTGGGGGGGGGGGCACTTGAAATTTTCGGGGGGCGGTGAACTTTCTTTGGGAGGGGCGGACACTGTTAAAAGTATATATTTTCTTTATAAATTATATAAATTTCATTCCGTTCGGGGGGGGGGGGGCGGTAAAAAAAATTCTGGGGTGGGGCTTTGCCCCCCCCCCCCCCCCGAAGAGATGTCTGGAAGAAACTCTGCTTGATTATCGTGTTAAATTATATTCAAACTTATGTAGACTGTCTTGAATTTCAAAGGATATTTTAGTTAACTATCTAGTTCATTATTTATTGAGTATAAGAATTTTCCCGTTTAAAAAACGTATATTACTTTGTAAAAACTACGATTTATAATACACAAGAAAAGTTAAACGCTTTAACTTTAAGTCTAATGTCAATATCTAATATCAAGTAAAAGCTACATAAATTTTAAAACTATTTATTTGGTATTGACTGTTTAACTGGGCTAATGAAGTAGAGTTCATGTAATTCTATGACCGTATTATATGCTGGGTATTGGGGTAAATTCTGTACCCAAAAGTCGTTAGTTTCTCTAGCCCGAGACTGTTAGACATCAGATGACACGTCATGTGACAGTGTATAGAACTCGAGACAATACAGGCTGCCATCGTCTACTCCACCTCTTGACCACGTCGTCCCAGTTCTATGGATTTACCTGTGACGTGTCTGTACGGGGTGGATTCAGTGAGGTTCACACTAGGGTCAAAGGTTGGAACACAAAGGGTTAGAACCTGCGAACTTTTCTATTTTCAACCTGAGGGGTTCAAGGGAAATTTTGTAAGGAGGTTGACTTTTATGGTGGTTAATTAGTGGGGAGGTAAATAAGTGTGGAGGTTAATTAGTGGTGAGGTCAGTTTGTAAGGAGGAGGAGGAGGTTAATTAGTGGAGAGATCAGGTCAGTTTGTGAAAAGGTCACTTTATAAGGAGGCTAACTACTTTTTTGGCATACCTTTGTTTTGTTAATGTTTCATTATTGATTTGTATGTTTTTACATTGTTGTTGTTCTACTAGGAACCTACATAGATCATCTCTTGTATGTGGGGTTGTTATGGAAGTATGGTGTTGTCCTTCTATGTGGGGTTGTTATGGAAGTATGGTGTTGTTCTACTTACGTAGATCATCTCTTGTATGTGGGGTTGTTATGAAAGTATGGTGTTATCCTACCTACCTAGATCATCTCTTGTATGTGGGGTTGTTATGAAAGTATGGTGTTATCCTACCTACCTAGATCATCTGTTGTATGTGGGGTTGTTATGGAAGTATGGTGTTGTCCTTGTATGTGGGGTTGTTATGGAAGTATGGTGTTGTCCTTCTATGTGGGGTTGTTATGGAAGTATGGTGTTGTTCTACTTACGTAGATCATCTCTTGTATGTGGGGTTGTTATGAAAGTATGGTGTTATCCTACCTACCTAGATCATCTCTTGTATGTGGGGTTGTTATGAAAGTATGGTGTTATCCTACCTACCTAGATCATCTGTTGTATGTGGGGTTGTTATGGAAGTATGGTGTTGTCCTTGTATGTGGGGTTGTTATGGAAGTATGGTGTTGTCCTTGTATGTGGGGTTGTTATGAAAGTATGGTGTTGTCCTACCAGACTCACGTAAATGTTGTGGACCATGTCAGGTTATTGTCTGTGACTTGCCATATGGCCGACCAACTTTCACTGGGATGTAGAGCTTAGCCAGAGATCGTGATCAATAAAATAGTTTTATGAGACGTAATTTTAAGCCTGGCTCGTGATGCTCATTAGCTGACTAATGAGTTTACGACCTGTAGGTCCACTGTATATAACAGTTTGAATTTGAATGTGAGTGAAGACTTAGCTTAGACTAACAATCATGAAGCTTCTGGCCGTCGTTGTTTGCTTGTTTGGTTAGTCCCTGCGTACACATTACGATATTGTGTTGAAGAAAAATTGATACTGTTAATATTAGAAGAGAATCTGACGTTCTCTTTGTGGTAGCTGTTACCTTTGTTGTGGTGACTTTGTTACATCTGACGTGTTGACTCTGTTTGTCTCTTTGTTACATGACTCTGACGTTCTCTTTGTTGCAGCTGTGGTTATGACTTTGACTTGCTCTTTGTTACATGGTTATGACTTTGACACTCTCTTTGTTACATGGTTATGACTTTGACACTCTCTTTGTTGCAGCTGTGGTGTTGGCTGAGGAGGATGAGGAGCTCTACAGGCGTATTGTCAACGGTGACAAGGCCACCCTGTACTCCCACCCCCACCAGGCCTCGCTCCAGCTCTACCAGGCACCCTACGGCTGGTACCACATCTGTGGCGCTGTGCTGGTCGCTCCCAACAAGGTAGGTCATCCGGTCATCCGGTCATCCGGTCATCCGGTCATCCGGTCATCCGGTCAAAGACATCCGGTCAAAGACATCCGGTCAAAGACATCCGGTCACTAGTTATATTTGATCACTTGAAAAGCTAGAAGCCTGTAAATTGAAGACAATTTTTTTTTAAAAAGAGATTTAGGAAAGATAAAATTACACCGTGCGTAATTGGCACAAATCAAACTTAAAATAATATCACAAAAATACACTGCATAAAATATATCTCTATTTTTTAGCCAAACTTTTTGAAATATACTGCTAAAAATATATTTCCATAGTTTGGCCAAACTTTATGAGATTATAAAATCTTTATTTCTACAGCTGTAGCTTAACACTCTGACATTGCCAGTAAAGGTCTGATGCTGTGACGTTTGTAATGCCTTTTGTCTTGACAGCTCTTGACCGCTGCCCACTGTCTGGAAGGTCAGCAGGCCAGAAACCTCCGTGTCGAGGTCGGCGCCCTCAACCTGTACGACCCACCCAACGCCTACGAGCAGGTGGTCAATGTGGCCTCCTTCGTCATCCACGCCCAGTACAACGGTAACGGCAACGGCATCCCCAACGACATCGGCATCATCTACCTGTCCAGCTCCGTCACCTACAACAAGAACGTGCAGGTAGGTGCCACAGCTCCCACAGCTCCCACAGCTTCCACAGCTCCCAGAGCTGGTCAAAGGTTGCCACAGTTCCAAGAGCTGGTCAAAGGTTGTCTCCCTCTTCCAGAGCTGGTTAAAGCTTTTCTCAATTTCTAGACTAGCTTTGAACCACCTCTTACTTCGTATGACCTCATGTAAATCTTCCAGTCATGTGTTTATATGATGTGAGGTAAATCTTCCATCCCTGTGTTTCTATGACCTCATACA